TTGCCCTAATGAAGCACAAGCAGATAAAACACTGGCTATTGTTACCTCATCAGGCATGATTCCCGTTATCCCCATGGTTTTATAAGTCTCCAAGGCCTTGTCAGGTAGCAAATTATCCACACAACCAGAAATCATTGTTGTCCATGACACGACATCTCTGCATTCCATTCCTGAAAAAACACTTTCTGCTTCTTTCCAATGCCCAACACTCAAGTACATTTGAATCAAAGAGTTATACACTGAAATATTACCATCATAGGCTGTTCTCACGACATAACTGTGAAGTTGTGTCCCTAATCTTTCATCGCCAAGAAGCTCACAAGCAGATATCACGCTCGTCATGGTCATCAAATCAGGATCAATTGAAAGCTCACGCATCCTGAAAAACAACTCCAACCCTTCCAAACACTCATCGTTCTCAAAATACCCTGAAATCATTGCATTCCAAGAAATCCTATCCCTAGTGGGCATTTTGTCAAACAACATCCGCGCTGAAACAACATCCGCGCATTTTACATACATAGTAATCAAAGCATTGACAACATCAACATCCATGTCAAAATCAAATCTAACCACATGAGCATGAACCTCTCTCCCTCTCACTAAATCCATTGCCCCAGCACAACTCCTCAAAACAGAAGGGAAAGTATAGACATCAGGCCTAATTCCAGCCCACAAGATCCTATGATACAAACACAAAGCCTCATCAAAAAACCCTGCTTTTGCATACCCACCAACCAAAACATTCCATGAAAACAAATCTCTCTCCCCCATCCTCCCAAAGACATTCCAAGCGTTACCCACATCACCAAACCTCACAAACATACTCAACAACGCATTTCCAAGCCTAACACTCAACAGGGTCACCAATGAACTCAACACAGCTTTCCACACATACTCACCCTCAATGTATCCTCTCTTATTCTCACATAACCTTATCAAAGCAACAAAGCAGTCCTCTTCTACGGGAATTTTAACTTCTTGCATTGAAGCAAGGTGTTTCAGAGCTTGTTCAAGGTTCCCGCTTATACATAGTTGAAGCAAGCGTGAGTTTGTTGGGTTTTGAGGGGCAATTGAAGTAGTGGCTGCGGTGTTGAGTGAGTTTTGAGGGGGGTTAAGTGTAGAAGAGAAAAGGTGTGGCTTTTGGGGTTTGAAAGAGAAGGTAAAAGTTTTGTTGGGGTTGTGGGTTCCGGGGAAGTGGGAGTTAAGGTTTTGAAGGTGTTGGTGGAGAGGAAATCGTGGGGTTTTAGCACAGAGAGCCATTTTTGCAAAAGAGCATTGTTTGCAAGCAAGAAAGAAAGAAAGAAAGAGGTTTTGGCTGAGGTTTAGCTGCTTCCCGGTAAACTGTAATAACCCCAGTGATTTTACAGATAAGTTGGTTAGCTCCTACTTTATTTGCATTCCTATTTTTTTATTGTTGAATCTGATAGTATATTTTGTTTGGATTATTCTCATTCCGTCGAAGAAAGTACTGACTTCAATTATAACTTCTGAGGCTCATTTTAAAGCCTATGGCTGCCTAATCCATTGAATCATTAAATTTTCCTGACACGAAGATTACCTGTAGTGTGGGTTGCTTTCACCATGCCTTTCATCCTTTGTATTAGTTACATGATTCGTATGATATCGTGAATCGATTTATTTTACATAAAAAATATAAAAAAATAAAATTTAAAAGTATTAGGTATTTTTATAAAATTATATTCAAAAATTTTGAATTTTAATATAATATCTGACTTAAAAGTAATATTTATAATATTAATAATAACATTAAATTTACATAACTCAAAACTTAAATGGTTTTGGTTGCAATACCAGATGTAACAGCATTGGATGTAGGTCTGACTGTAAGGTCATGTCATAAAAAGTGTATTAATTTAAAAAAACCAATACAAAAAAAAACTAATGAGAAAAAAAAAATCAGAATCAATTGGGTTAACTCATCAAATCAAATTAATCTGTCAAACCTGGAATTCATGTCATGAAAGTGTGATAACTAAATAGAAAAAAAATTTAATATTAATGAACTAAATTTTTTAAAAAAAGATTAATTAAAAAGAAAAAAGCAAAGAGAAAAATACCTACAGGAAAGAAAAAATTAATGAAGAAAAAAAAACCGGAATCAACATGGTTAAACCATTAAACCCAGGATCCGTGTCATGGGAAAACCATTAAACCCAGGATCCGTGTCATGAGAGTCTGATAACTAAACAGAAAAACTTTAATATGAAGAAACTATAGACAAAAAAAATAAATTAAAGGCATAAGCTTTTTCATTGTGAATTGCATCGTGCTATTTACAGTAAAAAGCTTAAAAAAGAAAAGAAAAGGGGAAAAAAACCCAGTAAAAAGCTTAAAAAAGAAAAGAAAAGAGGAAAAAAACCCAAAGGCATACGCCATGGATTAATTTTTTTTCTTGCATAAAAAATATAAAAAATGCTAAGATCTAAGAGTATTAGGTCTTTCTACAAAAATATACCCAAAAGCCTTGAGTCTAGCTGCAACGCTTGACTCAAGAATACTATTTATAATATTAATAATAATATTAAACTTACATGACTTAAGTTTAAGTGAGTGTGGCTGCAACACCAGATCCTGGAGCATTAGATGTGGGTTTGGCTATAAGTCTATGTCATAAAAGTGTGATAAGTGTTTGGCTATAAGTTTGTGTCATAAAAGTGTGATAAGGAAATAGATTAATTAAAAAAAAAAATCAATAGGAAAGAAAAAGTAATGAAGAAGAAAAAATAATATGAATTAACTTTAATTAAAAAGAAAAAATAAAAAAAAATCAATAGGAAGAAAAAAGTAATGAAGAAGAAAAAATAATCTGAATTAACTAGGTTAACTCGTCAAACCTAGGATTCGTGTTATGAAAATTTGATAATTAAATAAAATAAAATAATTAACGGGTTTACCTAAAATTAACTGGATTAACCCGTTAAAGCCGGAATACGTGTTATGAAAGTATAATAATTAAATATAAAGAAATTTAACATTAACAAACTAAACTAAATGAAAAAATTAATTAAAAAGAAAAAAATTCAGGTTAACTTGTCAAATCAGGCTAACTCATCAAATCAAGGATCAAACAAAAAAATTTATTAAAAGAAAAAAACAAAAAAAATTAAAAAACAAGCAATTTAGCGTTTCATTTAACTTTTAGTATATAATATAATATAATATAATAATTATAATAATATAATATATTAAAGATGGGAAAGTGATTATAATATAATTATAATTATAATATAATATAATAATTATAATAATGTAATATATTAAAAATAAAAAAGTGAAAGGCATGGGAAAGCTATAGTAGTTTTCCCACGCCTTTTAATATATTATTAATAGGAAAAATTTTATATTTTTTTAATTAGGTATTTAAATTTTTTATTTAGACAATTTAATCCTAATTAAAGAGTAATTAATTTCAAATTCTTAAAAAAAGATGGGATTAGAAGTAGAAGGACTAAGTTGCGTGTCCTAAGTTTTGAAAAAGACACGTTTTGGTTCTTTAACTTATACAATCACACAAATTATACAATTTCGGTCTATCAATATTTTTTCAATTTTATTTTGGTAAAAAAATTATTTTTATTATTTTTTTATCCCTGATTAAGAGAGGAGAGAGACAAAAAGAGAAATTGTTGGATTATAGTAGTGAAACATATTATTAACACTGATTTAGCCCACTAAAATGGACTAAATTTGTGTTAAATTGTTCAATTTAATGAAAAGAGTCTATATTAGGTTTTTTTTTCTTGAAAGTTCATGAAAAAATATATCTGAGATGGGTTAATTTTTTTATTTTAGGTTGAGTTCGGTTTTTAGGGTAATTTTTTGGTTTATTTTAGGTTACTTATAGGTTTATTATGATTTTTAATGTGTTTTTATGGGTGTTTTAGATCAAAAACAGATTAATAAATGAGTTTTTAGATCAAAAAACCTCAAGCATAATTTTTCAATCACGATAATAGCTAGAATCTAGATAAAATTGATAATGAGTTGTCTAATTTCTTTTAAAAAATTAGACAAATAAAATATCATCAACCCCAAGTGTATTTAAAAAAAAGAGATCAGTTGTACGAGCTATGATGAAATGGGCCAAGGCTAGCCAAGCCTAGCAATGCTTGACCTTTTTTTTTAATTAATTTTTTTAATTATTTTTTTTAATTTAATTATATTTACATTAAGACCCTTCTCTTTTTTATTTTATTTAGAAACCCTCTTTTAAATGTTAATAATTTTTTATTTGTGTTTAATTTTTGAAGAGGTTTTTTTAATTTATCTATGATTTTTTTTAATCTTTTGTATAAATAAACTATATTTAAAAAAAATTATTTTTAGGTGATATTTCTAATATGTGTAACTTTGAATATTATTTTTTTTATTCAATCAATTGAATATATTTTTTTATTTCTATTATTATTTAATTAAATAAAAAAATATTTTAATTAAAAAAATTAACAAATATGATTGGGTAAGTGTTTCGTCTTATGTGATTAAATATTTTGATTTATATTTGTGTCTTGGTTTTTCAAATTTTATTTATAGGTATTGTTAATGATGTTTTATTTATTTATTAAGTCACATAATTCTTAATTTATTTGATTATATATGTGCATAAATGTTTTGATTTGTATTTAAATTGTTTTTGAATTATAAAAATACATTGAAAAACCTATATACACAAATAAATACATAATTAATATATTTAACTTGCAGCGAAATACAGGTCATATAATATAATTAGTGTATGCTTTGTATTGGTAGATAATATATATATATATATATATATGTATATATATACACGTATAATAGAATTCAAATAAACACCTACAAATTCTTGTGCAATAGCATTAAGATTTTTGTTATTTAACATTATTGCTAACTCTCGTTGGTCGAAGAACTATGTTTTTTATCAAAAATGAAAAAGGTCAAGTGGCCTGAGAAGGCGGGAATGGATAGTCATCTCTTAGCTTGGGACCAGGGAGATCTATACATGAAAATGGAAGAGATTTCTTATTCCATACATACTTCATTATTCCTCGAGTCATAATTATAATAACAAGGAACATATTGTACAACGCCTGAAAACCAAAATCTATTACTGCTAATTAATTTAATTAATTGGATTTTGACTCGGCTTAGCATAAAAACCGGCCGACTGGGCACGCCGATCGATCATATCCCTTGACCTTCAGGACGTTGATTTTCTCCACATGAGAGGAGCTTTATTTTTGCCTCTCACTAGCTTTGTCTTCAAGTCCACGGGAGTTCGTATCCCAAAACCCACCTCTCCTTCTCCTTCATTACTCTCTTCAATCTTATCAACAACACTAACGTTATGACTTTTCATTGAAGGCATGACATTCCCAAGCTTCTTCCACCTGAAAAACCCTTTCTTTTTCTCCCACGACCTTTCCATTTGCGCTTGCATGGCATAGCATTGGCTTTGTAGCCTGTGCACATCTTCTCTGAGCTTCCTTACCTCTGTTTGTTGCATGCTCAGTTCACGTTTCGAAAGGCACCTGGCCGGGGCCTCAAGCCCTATGTAGGGGCTTCTAGTTCCACTAAATGACCCGCTCCAATCCATTTGTCGATTAAGTTTGGTATGCTCGGAGAAGAGGACTTGGATCACAGCACGAACGGGCAATCGTTCATTCTGGGCAGCATGGAGTGATGCTTCCTGGGAGAGTTTCCGGCTATCAATTAATCTAAAAAGAACCTTTCTTTCTTGCTTTGACACTCCAGGATGTGCCTGAGATCAGAAGAGAGCATTAATTTATCATCCACAAGGTACTTCAAAAATACCGATCCATAAATATTCCAGTCACAGAATACTAGAAACTAAATAATTTCTCTAGACTAAAATGTTTTTGTATGTGTGATAATATCCATCTTTTATTTGGATAGGCAGGGTACAAGCTTGTAGCAACTAGCAAGTACCGAGTCCCACTCCATTAATGAGGGAGATTTCAGATGCAGGCTAGTGAAAACAACATAACAGTGAATTGAATGCTTATACACTCTGATTGATGCTGTTAATATTGATCTCATGATGCATAAAGAAACATGTCAAATGCCAATATAATTCGACACTGACACCACCCTTCATGTCAAGTTGCTCCTGCTTTGCAATAACGCCACCCCACCCCAGAATTGTTCTGATGAAAGAATCTTCTGCTGCTGACAGAAACCCCACACAGCAGCAGCCATTTATTCCTCTAGATCGGTCCCAACATGAACCTTTTGTTTCCTAACTGTCCTGTTTTAAGTGTGTTATTCTCAAGCATTTTTATACTCTCTACTTGCTTTCACTCGATTGCATTTGACAACATGTTCAACATTTGAATCAATGCTTCCAACGTTGCTAACATTCATATCACAATTAATCATTCCAAATACCTTGACCCTGAGATTTGAACTACAAACGTCATTAATGTTTTTTGTTCCTGTAGCTTAATTGAACCAAGAAACTCTGCCGAGACCACAACCTGCTTATCACCTGAGACTAACAATGTACTTAATCGGCTCGTGTGAAACAGGCTTGCCTTTCTTGGTCCCGAGGCACTGACTTAGCTAGAGGAACAAGCATGGTGTGCGTTTGCACTAGTTAATTGGAGAAAAAGAAGAAGAAAATTACATACAAAATAATTAATTTATTGATTAACAGTACTACTGACTACTTACTTTAAGATAAGTATCGATGGCACGGTATAAACCATCATCTGTGGCGCGGGCATGACTTGGGAGAGCACCAGCAAGAGCAACAAACTCGGATAAACTCAAATTAGAATCCACAGCAGCTTCTGCTAAGTAAGAATCAACAAGCTTAGCTACCTTAATTAAGGCAGCACCACTTTTAGCAACCTCATCTAAACTAACAAACCTCCCCACTAGACGAATTATTAGCTCGACATCTAGCAATGTCCCGCAAGTGTGACTAAACGACGGTATCAGTAGCTCTTTCAGTGAAGCTTGGTCAAGTTGCCATGAAATCCTCTTTTCAAGCTCAGCTCTATATGCAGGCTCCACACTGACCATGTTTGCGATCCGGAGAAGGCGTAGGAGGAAGCTACATGGGATGGAATCCTTCTCCGGAGGCAGGATTCCCACCAGGGTTTCGACGAAAAATCTCTTTTTCATCCATGAAGTCGTGACACTCTCTGGGGATTCTGGAAAGTTTGCAATTCCCTTGTCTGTACTAGGTTGGTGATCATCAGAGAGTTCTGGTAGCCACTTTGATGCATAATGAGCTATGATTGAACCAATAAGGTCCGGACGGACACCCTTAGCCTTAATTCCGGCTAGGGTCTTAACAAAATAGTCCATATCAAGGATGCATGCATCGTCGAACCAGCTTTCGGCGGCTAACTGGGATGTCTTTGATCCTGAGAAAAGGAGAAATTCTGGGAAAGAGGCCTTCTTCATTTTGGTGGAAGAGTAGTCAAGCATTTTTGAGAAGGACTAATATATACTGTTGATAGCTCTTGTTTATACAAGAGGTTTTCATCCTAAAGTATAATCTCTTGTAACATTGCAAGTGGAAAAAATATCCGATGCATTGAGCAGCTGCGGGGCGGAATTCAAAGGCCCTTGATCTTTCCTGTGAAAGAGGATAAATGTACCTACATATATAGGGATGATATAAATCGAAGGGTCTAGACTTAGAGATGATGATGTTTGTCTTTCTATGGAGGTTATGAGGAATGGATGGATGTAGGGGAAGAAGGATAAGAAGAGGGTACAGAAGGAGAGGAGAAGACAAATTCTCTTCAATGCTAATATTCCTTCCTATGACGCATCCTGGCTTATTCTCTTCTACGGAGAATAAAATTAATTATAACAGCACCAAATCATACATGTATAGGCTAGGATGAAAGATACTCGTACATATACATATACATATACATATACATATATAGAGACAGGGAGGGGTGGGGGGGAGTTCAAGTAAGAGCATGAGGAAACAAATTGCAGAAAGACCATCCTATAGATGCCTGTAGTGTGTTGTCATCTACGAAAAGACTTCAATTTCTCCCACCCAAGTAATCAGAGCGAGTACTGCCGAGCAGGTGAGCAACTCGAAGCTTCATGCATATACTCGGAAGCATCCAAATAAGGGGTTGAATCCTGTACGGATCACGAGAAAGCATAGAAAAGAGTTATCACTTTATTTCTGGTAATTTGATTAGCAATATCTAAACTTCAAGGACGTATTTTATATAGTTAAGGTCAATCTTGATGGCCCCTGACGGAAGCTGAGGTTCTACAACAGCACCCTATATAGATATTAAAAATGATAATGTAACTAATAGTAATTTCAAGAAATATATTAAAAAATATTTTTTATTTTTTAAAATTTATTATTAATATCAATATATATATATATATCAAAATAATTCAAAAATATAAAAAAATTTGAAAAAAAATAAAAATTTATAAAATAATGATGGAACCATCGTTCTATAAATATAATTTGTATTGAAAAAATATGTATTTAAACGTGTTGATACTTTGTCTCAGTTTTTTATTACATTTTTTATTATATTATTTATATAGATAATAATACTTTTCATATTAAGCTCGGAATGTACAAATTTAGTCAACAGAAAAACAATTCTGAAATTGAAGGATTGTTATTATAATTAATTTAATATTCGAAATGCTTTTATAATTTTTGCTTTTTCTTCCTTCTACCACTATTTCTACGTCGTCTCCTTCCCTAATCTTTTTTCTTTTTTTTTTTTACATTTGGGTCTCTTTTTATTTTTAAATCCATGATGAAAACATAAACAAATTAAATTAAAATCTTATTATCTTCTTGGTCTTCTACTTCTTTACCATATACCATTAAAAAAAAAAGATTTATGCACTAAGAACATATTCTTAGAATCTTAGGATGTGTTGAACAACAAAAAATAATTTTCCTTTTTCTTTTTTCTGTTTTCTTCTAATTTTCTAGCATTTTTTCCCAATGAAAAATTAGAAAACATGTTAATTTCTTAAAGTTTCAAAACATTTTTCTAATTTAAAAAACTAGAAAATATGTTTATATTATATTATATTATTTTGAATTTGGAAAAAATAGAAATCATGTTCAAGTTAAATCTATTTTTCATGATATTCTTTATTTTTAGAGACAAGAAATAGTTAAAATGTCAGACATTAATTGCATATTGTATTATGCGTGTACAAACATATATAATCAATCAATCATGATTTAATATATGTTTTGCTAAGGATATAATGTGCAATTATATTAGTCAATCCATGAGATATGATTTCCAAAAAAAGATATGATTTAGCCTTGCAAAAAGATCATATAGAGACATCAAGCTTCAAAATTCCATACAACGACAAATAAACATATATCATTGATGACTTGATCAGCAGTCAAACAACACTAATTAGGCTATTTTCTGAAAAAACAGGCAATTGTAGTTGCTCGTGAACGACTTTCCCTTAATTCTGTACATTGTTTACCCTAAACAAGGGAGTTTAATGCTTTACAAAATTATAAAATTCTCTAGATTTTGAGAAATTCTATTTCATATAATTATTTTGTAAATTTGTGAGAAACCATTGATATTATCATTGCAAGAAAATGCCTAAACTATTTTACAAAGATCACAATAAGTTTCTAAATAAAAAATATTCTTCACTTTTCAATATTATAATTTATTAAATTGATCTAGTTAGGCAACACATTATCCACAGCTCCTAGGTTAGTCCATCTCAACTCCTACATAAATTTATATTTATAAATTATCTTCTTTTCAATAGACTTTAGGAATATATCAACTCCCAACCAAATTTTGAAACAATGTTTTACCAAAATAAATTTTAGAAAAAACACAACTATTACTGGATTATGGAATTATCTTCACATATTATATTAAGTTGTATTTAAGATGTATGATCTATAAAGCATTCGTACTTATTATTATTATCATAAACTAATTTTGGGTTATTTATCAAAATTCAAATTTTTTAAAAATAAAAAATAAAAAATAAAATAAAGACTAGCAATGTAGAGAAAGTATGCTAGGAAATCAAACTGCAATTTTGGAGGAAATTTTAAGACGTAATTGTATCCTATTATACCTAAAAAATAGAGAAAAATATATAATCAAATTTTTAAATAGGTCAATTTGATGTAATCATTGGCCAAATTAAATTTTAATTATGTTTAAGAATTAATTTGGGTCCAATTGAAGGATTTAATTAAGTGCAAGGACTTAATTATACTTTAAATGGGTTAAATTAATTTTATTTGGGGCTTAATTGGTGAAAAATTAAGTTTGGAAGCCTAATTTAAACTTAATTAAGAAGATTAAAATTTTCAGAGATCAAATTTATTTTTTTCCAAGTTAATTAATTGAAATCAGGGCTAAAATTGCAAGAAAATTGAAGTTTTGGGTTTAGTTAGGGGTTAAATTGATAAAATTCTCGACCAGTGACCAATCTGCAAAAGATGTCAAACTATAAAATCTTAATTGACAAAAACTGGGAGTGAGATTGAAGAAATTAAAAGTTTAATGGTCAATTGAGAGTAGACCAAGAACTAAATTGCAAAAGGCGGGTAAATCCAGGGCTAAAGTTGAAGTTCTACAAGGGTCTAATTGCATTAAATCAAAAGTTTATGGTTAATTAGGGGTTCAATTGAAACCAATTGAAAGATAAAGGACTAAATTAAAAATCAATAAAAATTCCTAATTCAATCCAAAATGGTGTCATTTTGAATATATATATATATATATATAAAGACGACCAATTGATGCGTCATCTGATCACTGTTCATTGTCTTCCCCGATTTTACCCGAGAATGCTGCCTAGGTGGTTACTTTTTAAGTGCACTTAATGCTTCATTACTCCATCAAATCTTACAACACATGAACGCAAATGACCCCTTGCAATTCCTCTACAACTCCAAGTGAACATTTTAGTTTGAATGGCAATGAGATAGCGCTAGTCCAGGCTTAAACAAGCTAACTCAAGCAGCTTTTTTTTTTTTATGCGGATTTGACAGCTCAATGTCAACAAGCTAACTCAAGCAGCTTTTTTTTTATGCGAATTTGACAACTCAATGTCTACTTTGAGCCAACGGTTGGGATTCTTCCATGTTGAATCAAGGGTTGGAATTTTTCTCTAGTGTGGACAAGATTACCCTCTTCCACAACCTATAAATAGAGGTAGATTTCATGACCTAAGAGAGGAGAAAACCAGGTCCAAAATCAGAAAGAAAAAAAAAAAAAAAACCAGCCTCACTACCTTGTTTTTTGCAATTTTTCTCCCCCTCTCTCTCTTCGTCGTTCTAGCTATCAACCAAAGCCACCACCATTTCTTCCACCAGAACCTCCACCCACTTCACACCAGGCCAGTGACAGCAGCTCCTGTCTCTCCGCAAGGTTACCTTCCATTCCTCTTCGCCATCTGCAACTGCAGAGTTGCATGTAGAATGTGAACTAGTATTCACATTCTGCAAATTTGGCCCACCATCAAAGGAAAAAGGATCTGCCAGGCCAATATCGGCCCACTTACCTAGGCCGACCCAACCCATGTATATTTAATATATATGTATATATAATATTATATATAAAATAAAAAATAAACAAAACAAAAATTTTCAAAAAAAATTCAAAAATCCTTTAAAAAAAAATCATGATTTTCTCAAATATTTTTCTATCAATTTTGCATAATATCGGGTTGTATATTTATACTATGGAATACAAATCTGGTATTAAAATACGTGATTTTCTTCAAAATTTTTCAAAAAAAAACATCAAAACATTTTCAAAAAAATCTAAAAAACATTGAAATTATTTTTTTATTTTAAAAAAATTATTTTCATGCATATGGCTAAATTCTAAAACTTTTCCAAGCATATCTTCACTAAAAAAAATTGCATCTTTTTCACGTTTTAAAATGTGAAATGGATAACATAACCAGTTTATGATTATCTATTAGAGTTTGACAAAAATATCAAAACTCTTTTTTCAATCTCCAGTTTATGATTATCTATTAGAGTTTGAAAAAAATATCAAAACTCTTTTTTCAATATTTTTTTTAGGGTCCAGATGTAGACTTTAATATTTATGGGTATAAAATTATACAATAAAATACTCCATCAGGTATTAAAAATACAATGTATAAATAAATACGATGCTAAAATTCAGACTTTAGAATAGAGGATGTAGCCCAATAAGGTAAAAAATTTATCATGAAGAAAGATTTGTCTTGAATCTTAGAAATGATCAGTGAATAGAAACCCGATTTAGAAAAAAAATCAAACAACAATGCAACTTAGCTTAAGAAGGATGCATTGGGGGTGATGTGTCTTCCCTTTACAAAACCAGCCCCTTGCCCAGACTCTCACAAACTATAGGTTTCTAATGACCATAATACTAGGTGGTGACTCCTAAACATTAATTATAATTTTATGATTAAATTCAAAAACCCTTCCCAACACACAACACTTTACACAAGAAACACGACAAAAGCCTCCCACCGTCGTCAGACGATGTCACGTCGACCTGCGCACCCCTCACGAAAATTACATCAAACTTTTGAAGGGTGAACTTTAAAATAATTGGAAAAACAATTAAGGATGAGATGAAAAGGTAGAGATATTAGTGAGAAGCTAAGTTTAAATAAAACAACAATTGTTTGGTTTTGCTAAATCAATGGCTTTAAAGTGTGTTATGGAGCTTAAATTGGTAAATATAATAAAGTCTCATGAAAATCAAGTGACAAATACATGTTCTAACTAAAGCAGAATTAGTGTCCATATACTCATATTGGCTCATTTTAGGGTCTTCAATCAACTAGTAAGTCAAACCTTATAAATCAAATTTCTTCAACACCTTTTTCAATAATAATTCCAAGCTATAACTTTTGGTTTTTTCTTTCTTAAAAACCTATAACAACTACAATGACAGTGACAACTCATCATTTCTCAAATACATCATTAGTGGTTAGAATGCCCCAAATTTCAAATCTTAAACTTGAAAGTAAATCCTTAACAAAACAAATTAAAAGCCTAGAATCCAAGGGGGGGAAAAAACTTAACAAAACAAATCATGCAACACACCAAGTAAAAGATAAGAAGAAGTTGGACATATCTTCGATTCATTCCTTTTCATCTGTGAAGAATAGCAACAACAACTTCTTTAATTTATTTTATTTTATTGATGATGAAGCATAGTGAGAATATGGTAAGATATAATAATACATACACACTTAACTCCTACATAAATTTTAAAACTAACTTCTTGCTAAAATAGATTTTAGAAAATAACTTAACTCTTACCTGAATTTGGAAATTATCTTCGCATATTATATTAAATTGTATTTAAGATATGTGGTTTACAAATTATTCATCCATATATTAACTTTTGAAGGGTGAACTTTAGGATAATTGTAAAAGAAACTAAGGATAAGATTAGAAAAGGCAAAAATATTAGTCACGGGTCAAGTTCAAATATAACAACCTTTGTTTTATTTTGCTAAATCAATGGCTTTAAAGTGTGTTATAGAGCTTAGATTGGTAAATAAAATAAAGTCTTATGGTGACAAGCGATACATACATACATACATATATATACATACATACATATATATATATATATATATATATGTTCTATCTAAAGAGAAATGAGTGTCTATATAATCAAGCTGGCTTATTTTAAGGTCTTAAATCAATTGGTGAGTCAAACCTCATGAATTGAATTTTTTTCAATGCCTTTTTCAATAATAATTTCAAGTCTAAAAGTTTTTTGTTGTTTCCTTCTTAAAAACCTATGATAACTGCAATGACAATGAAAATTTAGCATTCATTAAGAACATAATTTTTAATTCAAATGCCCCTAATTCCAAATTATAAACTTAATACACTTGAAAGTCAATAAAAAAAACAAATTAAAACCCTAGAATCCAAGGAAAGGCAACTTAACATAATAGAAAATGCAACACACCAAATAAGTAAAAGACAACAAAAATTTGGACATACCTTTGATTTGTTATCTTTTAATTACAAAGAATAGCAACAACAACTTATTTAGTTTCTCTTCTTCTTCTTTTTTACAGTTAAATCATAGTGAGAATACAATAAAAAGAGAAGTGAGAAAGAAAATTTGGATATATACACACACACACACACACATACATACACACTCTTCCCTAAATTTTAAAACTATCTTCTTTCTAAAAAACAAAATAGCATCTTTAAATATTATATTAAATTATATTTAAGCTGCATGATCTATGAATTATTCATTTATAGTATCGCATTATAAAATTTTAAAGGATGAACTTTAAAATTGCTATAAAAGAAAACTGAGGATGAGATAAAAAAAAACAAGGATATTAGTTAGATGCCAAGTTGAAATATAGCAATTCTTGATTGGTTTTGCAGAATCAATGGTTTTATAGTGTGTCTTAGAGCTTAAAATGGTATATATAATAAAGTCTTATGGTGGATGAAGGAAAAATGCATGTTCTAACTAAAGAGAAATTAGTGTCAATATACTAAGTTGGCTCATTTTAGGATCTAAAATCTATTGGTAAGTCAAACCATATAAAACAAAAAATTTTAATGCCTTTTTCATTAATAATTTCAGGTCTTTAACTTTTTGGTTGTTCTGCTCTTAAAAACCTATGATAATTGTCGTGACAATGATAAATCAATATTTGTCTAGTACATCATTCTTAGCTCGAATGCCTCCCATTCCAAATATTAAAGGTAATATACTTGAAAGCCAATCCCCATAAAAAAAAATTAAAACCCAAGAATCCAAGGACAAAAAATTTAACCAAATAGAGAATGCAACATACCAAACAAGTAAAAGATAAGAAGAAGTTGAACATACCTTTAATTTATTCTCTTTCAATTATGAAGAATAACAACAGTTTCTTCAATTTCTTTTCTTCTGTAGATCGGAAAAGCATGATGAGAATACAAAAGAAAGACAAGTGAGACTAAAAAATTAGGGTTTAGATATAAGAATAGGCCTTCGCACACTCAACTTCTATCTAAATTTTGAAACTATCTTCTTTCCAAAATAAATTATAGGAACAAAATTCAACTCCTACCTAAATTTAGGAATTATATATATAAAGAAAAAAGCTTATATTTAAGATGTGTGGTCTATAAATTATTCATCTAAAGTATTACATAGTGAACTTTAAGATAATTGAAAAAGAAACTAAAGACGGGATCAGAAAGGACAAAGATACTAATTAGAGGCCAAGTTGAAATATAATAATACTTGTTTGATTATGTTGAATCAATAGTTTTATAGTGTGTATTAGAGTTTACAGTGGTAGATATAATAAAGTCTTATATTTGCTGGGCAACAAATACATGTTATAACTATAGAGAAGTTAGTATCCATATATACTCAAGTTGATTTATTTAAGAGTCTTAAATCAGTTAGGTCAAATATTATGAACCAAATTTCTCCAACACCTTTTTCATTAATAATTACAGGCCTATAACTTTTTTGTTATTCTCATCTTAAAAACCTCTAACATCTACAATAACAATGGCAAATCCATATTTATCATGTATATTATTCTCAACTAAAATGCTTTAAATTTTAAATTCTAAAATTTATATACTTGAAAATCAATCTCCTCTAAAAAAAAAATTGAAACCCTAAAATCCAAGAAAAAATTACTTAACAAAACAGATAATACAACACATCAAGCAAGTAAAAGATAACTAAAAGCTCAACATACCTTCAATTCATTCTTTTTCTTCTTCAAATTTTTTTTTTATGGATGATAGAAGCACAGTGAGATTACAATATGAGATTGCAATAAGAGAAGTGAGAGTGAAAAAATAAGGTTAAGATATAAATGTGTGTGTATGTTGGATAAATTTATAATTAATTGAACATTTAAAGAGTATTTTTATCCAAAAAATAATTCATTAATGAGAAAAGGTTAGGAGAAGCATCTTTTTTTATTTGTTAGAAAATCTTGAAAAACATCTAGCATTGTGGTGGAAAAACCAAAAAATCTTTCCTTTTTTCATGTTCTTTTCCCCATTTTTCTTGGCAACCTTGGCATCTCTATACTCTAATAATTTTTTTTATTATTTTTTTTGCAACAAAGTCAATGTTTTTCCAAGTGAGTACTTTTGATTTATACGAGAAACTTGAAAATTATTTGAGTTCCTAGTTCACTAACAAAAAGAAAACAATACCTAGTTTAAGTTCTTGCCTTTTATCTTGCTTGATTTTCCTTATTGTCACTTTCTCCTCTCCATGCACCCATTTCTCTTACCTTTGCCTTTTCTTTTTCGTTTTTGCCTTTGATTTTGAATCAAAATTTCAGTTTCAATCGATTCTTTAATTGATCTCATCTCAATAGCCCACTTTCTTTTTTCATTAGTTCCTTCCAAAGCAACTACTCATTAGCCCACACCTTACTTTTCTTTTTTCACAAACATCCCACTCATTTTATATAGACATACACTACAAAATTGTTGTGATTATGATGCCCCATGATGGATTCATTCCCAAAAGTGAAATTATTGTGAAAAAAACAGATTTCTATAAATATTTATTCAATTTCAATTCTGCAACAGAGACTAAAAAACTGGACGGACACTGTTGTCAAGGAGAAAGTTGACTTAAAGAACAGCAAGATGCATCGATTGTTCTTTTTCTGTAAATAAATTCCTACAACAAATCAATTCACCTACAAGCGCTTTCTCATCGAGCTCGCCTTATTCTTCCAGAATGCCTCGGCAGAGAATGGAAGAAATATACTAGACGTTACGGGGAGCTGAGGGTTCGGATGAACTGCTGGATGGGTCACCTATTGTTGGATTGAGTGCAGTGCCACTTGAAAGAGAGCCGTTCCCACCTTCTTGAGACACTACAGGGATCTTCACTGCCGCCCTTTCCATCTCCTTCTCGAGCTCTTCTTCCTGACGCAGAGCAGTGAACTGGGTATCAAGAGACTTGGCTGCACCTAACCATGCAAACACGATTACCAGAAGTACTCCTCCGAGGTACGGCGTTGAATTGGCAAGCGACCCAAAGGTTAAGATCATAAACTGTTGAATGAGAGCTCCTCCAGACTTCCCCAAAGGATTGCACACAACATCAATGGCTGCCTTCCCTTTAACCTACAGCACAGATTGGAGAAGCAAAATTAGCACTGAACATCTAGCCATTTTTAAATTCAGTATTCCATATCCTGCATCAAAACTGTCTCAGAATGATTGAAATAGATTGCCAGTTTAAACTACAAAAGCATCTATAACAAGCAAAAGGTCCAAACCTTAGTGTCCTCATCCAAGGGAATATAGGCCATTTCTTTGCATGGATCAAACAAACTGTATTTTGCACTCTTGCTGAAAATGTTTTGCATAGCACCCACGTATACAGCAGCAAGAAGAGGAGTCATCCCAAACTGTGTGAGGGTGGGTGCAAGAGGACCGCCAAACAATATCAGAGAGAAGAAACCGACTCCTGTTAGAAGCAGGACCGTGGGTGTGATTTTGGCTGCAACTCCCCATCCATATTTGTCAAATATTAATTGGCTTAGAAGCATCATCGTGAAAGTCGCTATTCCCGTTGCTGTTGAAAAGTCACCCATAAACGCAGAGTACTCATTCGGGCTGGGAAACTGCAAAAATGAATGGCAGAGTGGGGAGGGAAAGAGAATCAGTAATCGATAAGCTCAGAGAGAAGAGGACAAGGACAGGATCAGATAAAGTTTACCTGCGCCTTTAGCTTTGATTTCCAGGTAACCTCAACAAGGTTGATGCTAATACCATATGCAACCACCAAAGTCGCAAGATCTCTAATATATCTAGAAGACACAAGGAACTTCAAGCTCTCCATTGTGCTCATCTTTGGCTTTTCCTGCACACGGATTTTCAAAAAGGGAACCTTGTTATACCATTAAATTACTACACTGAGTCTTCAAAGTATATGCTCATCAATTGAATCTCGCTTGTTAACAAGGGAAAATATATATTATACCAGAACATGCACATGACCCTCTCCAAGTAATAAATTTGATGTGGTTGTACATTTATTGATATAGAGAAAAAATTCGCAAAACAGGTATTCTTTCTTCAGCACGCTGGCTTTAGATAATTTGTAAGGATGTTATGACACCCTTCAATTTCTATATACAAGGCTCCTTCAAGTTCTGAGACCTTTTTGTTTGTTTTATAAGAGCTACAAAATACAGCTTTCCAGCACCTTGAATAAATATTTTTAAAAAAAAAGGTCCTTGCTAACAAAATTACAGTGGTAAGCCCATCTAGATAAGTATGTAGCTGGTAAGATGATGTCTCATCACATTTCAGTACCTGTTCCTTGATTAAAGAGTGCCATACTAAAAAGAATTGCAGAGTAGCTGGTGAGAAAAAGCACCCAGTACCAAATTAAAGAATCTGGTAATTATTTCAGGTATGCTATAGTTCAATTTCATAATAAAAAATTAGATTTTGCGAGCCACCAGTAACACAAACATATTGCTTCGAGGGTTCATAGAGTCCTTGCAGCAGATTACCTTCTTCTTCGTGCTGCGGGTTGGTAGAGGAACAAAAGTATTCACCCACCAGTAACACAAACATATTGCAAGCCCCATCAGCACCACAATGCTCATCATTCCTTTGAGGGAGACGGCCCAGCCATCAACACCAGGACCCAAGTTTTTCCTCAAATTTGAGAAGTACTTCACTGTTCGGCCTGAGAAAATCAGAGCAACATTCGCCCCAAGTCCAAAAAGTGGGTAAAACCGTTTTGCTTCATCTACAGTAGTGATCTGCACAATACACACAACATCATTAAGTGGAAGCTTTGATCAATATTTACATGCCATTCAGATAGGGAAAAGAAAAGGAAAATTTGAGAACAAGACAATCACATTTACAATTTTCGATGCCTTGTAATTTTTTGTGAAACCAGGACTGAACTTAAAGTGCAGAGATTATTCACCCTAACGACAAAATTTATTAACCAAACTAATTTTACTTCACTCTAACTACTACACTCACAGCCCTTGGCATCTCAATTTCATAGCCCATGAATCTCCTTTTAAGCATGGCACGGATGCTGAGGCAACAGCATCCAAGCAAAAACTTGGCATATATTTGCTCTGGATGAAAAAACCGAAGTAGCAGAAATGAAGTGGGAACTTATGAATCGATTGGAAAAATCATTGAGTTCAACATGTAAGCCCTTATGCAAACTACAACTCAAATTCAGAACAAAACTAAAACAACTTTGTTCCGTTTCAGAGCAGCTTTATAACAATCCAAAGAACTATTTATTATAAAAAAGCATAAGTAACATATTAGTAACCTGTCACACGTAGATTTTTCCTTTCTTTTTTTTTTATTTTAGGGGAAAAAAAAAGAAATGAAATATTAAGACAATTTATATAGCAAAAAAAATAACCAAAGCTACAAACAATCAAGCAGACAACTTTGAATCCAAAAGAAACTTCAAAAAGAAGGATGACTACCTGATTAGCAAATCCCCAGAACAGCACCGATACCACCACACTCCCCCACAATTCAGCCATGACATAGAACAAACAAAAAGTCCAAATCCTCATAATTGCAAGAGGACCAAGAAACCTTGGGCCAAGTACATTGAGAAGTTTATCAGCAAATGCTTCTGGGTGGATATAATTACTGAGTGGATACAAAACAAACCCAAAAGCCCCAAAAAAGGCAATAAAAGGAAGAATCACAGTATAAAAGAGAGCCTGCTTAGACAAGACATTGGCCAATTTTGTATACAATAACATGAACCCAATAGCCATAGGCAAATTCACCCAAGTTTTCAAAAATGGTATGATTTCTGCACTGCTACCTTTGGCCGTCACAACCAACACGTCCTTAGTGTCTCTAAGGATTGTGTAGTTAAAAAGAATACAAAAGAACATTAACCCAAGTGGGATAATTTTTTTGAAAGTCGTAAGCTCAATACCCAAAAACTTTGGTTTATCCGTTTCTTCACCAAACAAAGGCTGTCCATCAGCTGCAGCTGCAGCCTCAGCCCTGCAAATATGCAAGTTTCTATCTTTTGGGAAGAAACCATTTGGTTTTGATACAGAGGTAGGAAATTTTGGAACCCCATTTGAAGACAAAGAAAACCCAGAAAAGGTTTTAGGTTTTGTAGCAAAAAGCCTCTGCTTTAAGCCCTGTGAAGGATACAAAACCCTACCTTTGGGGTTTGGTGGTAGTGAAAGAAGCCCTCTGGTTTGTAACACCGCTTCCATGTCTCTCCCTCTTTGTTTCCCTCTCTCTACCCCTCTTTAGGTCCCTTACAAAACCCAAATCTTTGGTTTTTCAATACGAAAGCATAAGAGAGACAGAGATAGAGAGATACGGTGGCCGAAGGAAATTGTATTTGCTCAGATAGAAGAGTAGAGAATTGATATAAATATCATTTTATATCAACAACCTAACAAACCAAACCCTCGTTGTCTTTTAAAAAAAGAAAATTACTGTATAAAAAACTTTCGAAAACAAACAGAAAAAAATTTATTACCGACAGATTTTTCTTTTTAACAGTTGGTCATATAAACTAGGGAAGGTTTTCAATCTGTGGGGTAAGAAAGAAGACCAAAAAAAAAAATGGTTCAGAAATCAGAGAATGGGCCCAACAAGTGGGAGCTGAAGAGGAGAAAAACAGAAGGAAGTGGTGGTGCGGTCAAGGTCTCACGGGCAGGGAGGAAAAGCACGAGGAATCTTCACGAGTGTGCAATGGGATCACCAATTCACCATGGCAAGTGCAAGGGACCATAAATGTCCTTGAGGGCTTTTGTTTATGGCTAGTGTGCAATTGAGATATTTTTCACTTTTTAAAATCAACCAGGATACATAGGGGCGGCATGAAAGCGATCCGTGAGAGAGATGTCAAGCTCTACAAGTGTGTGAGCTCCTCCATTATCTTTTATTATCATGGATGTCAATTTAACCTCGGGATGATATTTACTTATTTAAATTAATTTTTTTATTTGAATATCCTTGTATACTTTTAAAAAATAAAACTAATTCTGTTCAAGGCTTTTTAGAAATTAAATTTTTATTTTCATCTTTACAGAGATGACAAAGATGTAGTAATGTCTTAATCCTTATTTATCCAAATCAATTTAAATATTTTTTTATATTTGTTTCATCTTATAAATAATAAATATAATGTAAATATCATTAAACTTGGTTTAAGATATATACATTAATATTAGATAAGTACGTAGTTTTATGTAAATATAGAATGTTTATAATTTTAAAATATAATATAATATATGCATATTCCAATATTAACATTCCATTCACATATATACAATGTTTATGATTTTATAATTAAATTCACTCGTGTGTGCATGCCTGCAACATTATTTTTTTTATTATATATTGAATAATAAACGATACCATAGTAATTGTTATCCAAAGCGATAAATACATAACTAGTTTATGTAATAAGTAATAAATATAATAGAAATTCAACCTGTAAATATTTATTGTCATCCTCTTTTTTTTTATTCGAGGAAACCTATCCCTTCTAAAAAACATATTTTATAAATTCAGGTAAATTAGTAAAATCTTAACTATCCTAAATTCTTATAAAAAATACACGTTCTAACTCAAACTCAAAACTTACTATATAAATTTTAAATTTTTTACAATCACGTCACACCTCTTGAAAACTTTATTGCCATTCTTATTAATTAGGTATTGACCCATGCCGATCTGAGTTGGATGGTTGTAATATTTCTTGTTGAATTTTTATTCTTTCTTATTTATTTTTTATTTTAATTAATTTGATTACATTCTTTTACATATTAGATTTATATTTTTAACATTTGATGTTTTTTCCTCCTAGGTTATAAGAGTATTATCAAGATAGTTTTTAACATTTGATACTTAATTTGATATTTATACTTTCAAAACTAATCTAAAAGTGATAAAAGGAAATATCAAGAGAAAATTAAAAAGAAAAAATCTTTGTGAAAATGATACCCAATGTCTAATGATGGGTGGACCCATATTATTCTTACCATATCTTGTTATGGGTCATCCGTGCATCGCCTGTAGATTGCCGAGTGACCTTTGTGTCGTTCTGCAACAGAGTTTTTACATCTTTTTTTCTAAAAAAGTTAATTAATCTAAGGATGAATATCCTCTTCACCAAATGATTTCTTTCTCTCTTCATCAATGGCGTGATGAGGCATGGGTGCTTGTTTCTTGCAAGGTTCTTATACTTCCCTGTTCAGAGTTTAAGATTCTTTGCACTCTAATCTTCAAAGTCAAACCAATGGCTTCCCACGCTATAACTTAGTTACGTGTATATAGATCTTGGTAGGAGCAGATAATATTATGGGTGGGATTAATTTTTTTAAAAAATATACTTAGATATTATTAACAAGTCTTTAAAAAAAACAATATAAAGATTAATTTACTGTAATTCTAGATAACTTTTTAAATCAAAAAATAACTTGGATAGTGAGGAGAAAAAATTAATTTTATTAAAAAAAATATCAAACATCCTTTTAAAAAAGATTGAGATGAAAATGGTTGGCCAAAATCATAGGTGTCCAAATTATAATACATAATAAAATGAATGAGTTAAGTATTATCCTACAAAGATTTGCAAAAATTATCGATAAGTATCAAAATTATTAAATCCTTATTTATTTAATTATTCAATTACAAAAGTTTACAAAACTAAAAAAATTAAAAACAAATAATTAAATGGTGTTGTAATCAAGTTTAACACATGTTAAGATTTTTAATCTTATTATAACTAATCCTATGTGAATTTTTCAATTGAATTAATCCTATCGATTTTTTTTATATTATTGATAATCAGGTTTTCTACGTCTTTCTAAAAAATCTAAACTTGTCAAAATTCACGAGGAATGATAAAACCCTTAATGATTACACAAGTTTCATAGATATATTTATCATATAAATTCCTTATGGAATTTCAAATAATAACTAAAATATTCATTACTTCTCAATCTCAAATTGAATCTCAAATCATATAAATAATAATCAAACAAGTACAAGCATCAAGTATAGAATGAAATACTCAACAAATATTGAATTACTTCAATCAAATAAATATTCAAATAATCATAGTTAGGCTACATCAAAAAGTTCTTGAGTAAAGAACCATTTTATAATTAAATTAAAAAGAGACAAACTTGATATAATGAACATTACACAAAAGTATGAGAAAACAGAGAACTGGATGTTTTGAAGTGATTGTTGTCCTTGGCCTTTTTCTTTCAATTCTGATTGCTTCTACTCCTAAATGTCACCTCCTCTCTCTTGTGGTGTGTTTAAGATACCAAAAAACATGTGTTAGTTACTGCCTAGAGGGGTTTTTATAGTTTAGCTTTATCCTATGAAGGAAAGGAAAGGAAATCACTTTTTTTCTTTGTCACAAATTCTAACTTTATTTTCTTTCTTGATATTGCATGCCAGATATATCTGCAATATATTTTCTTATCAAAAACATATTGGATCAACTAAAATCAACTTAGGTTAAAATATAAAAATTATAAGTGAAATTATAAGAATGTAATAACCTTATAGAACAAAAATAAAAAAACATGGTAAAGTTCAATTCTCAATCAAACTAATGTTGAGTAATAAAATTTGAAAAAAATCTATTAAAAAAAGGTCAAGAAAACTGAGTCAACCAGAGTCAACCTATCAAACCTAGATCACGAGATCAGGATAACCCAATTTAAAAAAAATTAAAAAAAAATTATAAAGATTAATTCTCCATCAATTCAATATTGAATGATGAAATTAGAAGGAAAAAAAAAGATATGAGTCAACTCGATTTAATTTGTCAAACTCTTAACTTGGATCATAATATTAAGAGAGCCTCATATAAAATAAATTAAAATAAATTATAAAACTTAACTCTCAGTCAATCTAAACGTTGAATGATAAAATTAAAAAAAAAATCATAAAAAATAACAAGAAAAAACCTAAGTCAACAAGGTTAACTTGTAAAACTATTAACTTAAGTCATGAGATTAAGATAATTTTATATAAAATAAACTAAAATAAATTATAAAACTCAGCTGCTAATAGATATAATATTAAAGGATAAAACTAAAATAAATAAAAATTAATATTATAATAAATAGTAATTTGTAAGGAGAGAAAAAGTGATTTCCCCTTATTAATTAGTTAATTTATTAAAGATTACATAAAATTACACACGGCACTTTTAGGCAAATTAAAAAAGTAAAGAAGAGATAAAAAAAAAGTTATTATTTAATTTAAAAAATAATTAGAATATCTAAAACTAGTTCTGAAGTTGGTTATACCAAGAGGAGAATAAAACATGTACATATAAACCATCACGCACACTCAATAGATTTACAAGCATTGAATGAACTCATTCTAAATTTACTTGCCTAGAAAAATTGGAAGGAAGGAAGAAGCACTTTAAGATTAACATGCTTTAACAAACCAAAACGTCTAGAAATTCAAATGAATAAAATAAAATACCATGTAACTTAAAAAACCCAACATCCATTCAGAAAAAAAATAATATTTAAAAATATCTTAAATAGTAAAAATAAATGCAATCACATACATGGATCTAACTAATTAAGCAATGGCTTGATGAAAAAAATAAAAAGAAATATCTCATAAGGTACACAACTCCAAATAATAATAAAAAGTTAAGAATATTAATTAAAATATAAATAAAATAATACATTAAATATTCATATATCCATAATATAGTCATCGAGGGACATGATAATCAAGGATCACAATATCAAGGAACAAAAATAATCATGGGGCATTTTTTTGGATAAATAAATAGATAGCTTAAAATAAATATCATCCTACAGAATATGTAAAATAGATAACTTAAAGTGTTTTATATTAAGAAACATTTTACACTAAACAAATAAAAACTAAATTTATGAAAAAATAATTTATAATCAAGAGTAAATAAAAATATGGTTTTACATTTAAAAAAAATCAAAATTGAGCAATAATGAGCACGTCAAAAGCTTGGCAGCATACCCCTAATTTTGGTGTCAAGCTATCATCACACAAGCAAAACAAAACACATATATTCATAAATAAAATCACATCATGACTGATCGTCACTCCTCAGAGGAACCAATCAACAATTTCACCCTCGAAAGCCTATCGTGAGGATGTGGACACCACCCTTATTTCACCTAAAAAAGTTCTCTGATGGAATCATATACCCCTATGGCATATAAAACAAACATGGTGTAAGATGTTTGGTGGTAATATATTAAATTATATTTTATATTATAAAGTTTATTAAAAATTTAAGTTTGAAATATAGTTTTTATAAAATAGTTTTTAGATAATTTTTTAACTGAATTTTATAAAATCTAGTTTATTTTTGTGTTTTAAAAATATTTTCAAAAAATTTTAAGATTTTTTTCT